TCCATAATTTTAAAATTTCGTTTTATTATTGTGGATATTAATATAAAACTGACAGACTCCGATCTTTACTAACACGTATGTACATTTATCAAACAACCTTACAAAGCTGCAGATGTTTGTGAGTTGCTGTGGTTGTGTACAGCTGTTTGTTTTTTTCAGCTGGAAGAAGTGAAACAAACAGGGTGCGACCACAAACATTCAACTCGTACCGTGTTCAATGTCCTGCGGGCTGCGCCAGGAGGAGTCTCCACTCGTGTCGAACTCTTCCTCCAAAATCAGGTCTGCTAACATTTTATTGCCTCGGGGCGAGAGTAATACTCCAGCTGTCAGAGAGGTGACATTCAGGTGTTTGCGTTCACTGAATAACGCGACAACTGCAGTGTGTTCAGGAAGATAAACTGCATCCTGCCGGCGAGAAAGCGGCTTTAAGTCTCTACAGCAACGTGGCAAATATCTCATACACGACACCATCCGGTAGGGGGCATATGTAAGTTACAAATAATTATCAAATTAATTAGATTTTAAATTGTACAATATTATCGGAATTTTATCTAAAGTATTTATTTTAATGAGGAACATATTTATACATGTACGTGGTTTTATGTGAATTATAATTGTTTTTACGTTTTGCCTGTTTATTTCATGACGTATTTTATTAGCGAATCAGATACAAGTGACGCTATGTTTCTGACCAATCAGCTGTTTGTTTTGTAGCCTAAACTCCCGCCTTACTACACAGACAGGGAGTCCTGTTTGACAGGTTAGACCAGAGGTTTTTTTGCAATAATATAACTTTCACTGACGTGTCGCTGTTTCGGGAACATTTCAGTGTTTTCATGCGAGAACCTTATGAGTGATGTTTGAATAAGGCAGCTGGGACAACATCGCTTTAGAAACAGCAATGCTAAGCAGCATCTGTGTGCGGCGACAACGCTTCCTGGTTCCAGTAGTCGGTGGATAACGCACCTCATTGTCGGTGTGGATTTGGAATCTTCCTTAAGTCTGCAGAAATGATGGCTCTCCGAGCAATGGGCATCAATCACGCAGCTCTGGCATACGCCATGACCACACTGGGAGCTTCCATGATAAACAACATCTTCAGCTTCTATTATGTCAAACTTTTCCTCAATAGTTACCAGATTTCTGAGGCACTTTTCCACCAATCACAAGTGAGTTTTACCCCTTCTCTATCACTGTTATTTTATGTGTTTGTTTGGCATTGTTGACAACTTTGAAGAAATTGTACCGTAGAAAGTGTTGGTCTCAAGACCTTAACATTTATGGAACAGTCAAAACTTTTTATTAAAATAAAATAAACTACGTTTATCTAAGCATTACATTACGCAGTCGTATAAGGACTAACTGATCCGCAGTCCTTAAGGTGGCAAGATGGTTGATGGCAAGCATGCAGTAAGTTGCTAAAACCATTGGCAAAAGCAAAACATACCTGCATTGCATCAGTTGCAAGACATTCTCCATCACAGAAACAAGACATTCCTTCTGGAATTCAAGAATTTGATAAATTAAATGAAATCTCTTTTCTTTAGTAATGTTCAACACAGCTAATTAGTGTGTGCTAAATAATTGTGAAATATTTTTGCCAAACATTATTATGTATGGCCTCTCCACAGGTGGTCTACATGGTGTGGAATGCATTCAATGACCCTCTGTTCGGCTACCTCCAAGATAACTCCAGAATGCCCTGTTTGGTTCAGAGGCGACTCTCCATCCTGTACGGCGCTCCGTTCTACTCACTGGCTTTTCTTATACCCTGGTTTCCATGGCGGACATACATGCCTGGGGATTGGCTGAGCGGCCTACATTTGATGGTGGCGCTCTGTGCTTTTGATGGCATGCTAACCTTTGTGCTGCTGGCACAATGTGCATTATTTGCGGAGATATCCAACCAGCATCAGAGCAGACTAAGACTCATAAAGTACAACCAGGTGGGTACCTGTATACTGCTTTAACTTTTACTGTTCTTGTTCCTCTCTTTTACTACAGTATTACTCTTCCATCCTTCTTATTTTTCTGACACCCTCAGGTGGCTTCTCTTATTGGTTCCTCCAGTGTCCTTTTCTGTGGCATGCTGTCCAGGAACATGGAGGACTTTTCCGCCTTCCAAGCCTTCTCCGTGCTCATTGCTTTTCTGAGCTGCGGCTGCATGCTCTACACTGGCGTCTACAGCGACAGCCGCTTCGATAATAAAGGATCAGAGACGAATAAACAGGAGTGCCTCAACCTGACGTCCAGCCAATCAGTGTTGTCCATGAACACGTTAAAAACACAGGTGTTGCAGATCCTCACCAATCGTGACTTTCTGCTGTTTGTGACCATGAACTTCTTTGAAGTTTTTATGTTGGCCTTTCTCAACAATTTCACCATGATATTTGCCGAGCACTTGATTCCCCCAGATGCACTTACACCTTTGGCCAAGAGCGTCATGTACGGAGCGGGGTTCATCTGTCCACAGGTAAGGTTCTCTGTGATTTTGTTTTCAACCAGCTGCTTGACTTTATGTCCAGCACTAGTGCTGCAATTATAGATAGATTAATAAATGGATTGATGGATGGACAGACAGAAGGATAAATGGATAGATGACTTTATTTATTCCCTAAGGGAAATCATGTTGTCACAGCAGTCCAGTATTTAAATACAATAAAATACAACAGCATAAAACACAGAGGTAGATGGGAAATAGAAATAAAACTACCAAATGGTACAAGGATAATTAATAGCAGCAACAGTATATAATACTAATAAAATAATAATAACAACAACAATAGCAGTAATAACAACAATAAAGACAACAGTCTCAATATGTACACACTGAATCCTATATATAATATATGAATATGTACAATTAAATTATATGAAGTATTTAATATTGTATATTAAATATTAATTATTAAATAACATTTTCTTGATTCTCGTTTCATCGTCAATGATAAGGGTTCAACTCCTTGTCTCCTCCCTAGTTGTTAGTGTTGAGTTGTCAGAGTCTGCTGCACAGCCAGGGCTACTACAGGATCGTCCTGTTCACCTTCTGTGTAGAAGTAGGGATGGCAGTTACCATGCTGCTGCTGGGCCCTCAGCACTACTACATCCTGGCGGTCTTCCTCACTGTGAACATGTGAGACTTTGACATCACTAAATCATTTATTTATTTTTTCACTGCATGAATACACTCCAGTTGGAATAACTCACCCTATGGTCCTCATGTTCAGGGTCCTAGTTCAGGCGGCCTTCAGTCTCTTTGGACTTCCTTTGGCTGACATCATTGATACAGACATGCAGAAGTACAAGCGCAGGTGAAGAAAATGTGACTTCCTGCTAAAACCTAGTCATCTATCACATGTACAAATTCTCAGAAATAAATGACATGTATTTTTTGCTATCTGATCTTTTATCTCTTCTTATCTTTTCTTCCTGTTTCCTGCAGTTCCCCCCTCTCCTCCATGGTCTTTGGAACCAATGCTCTCTTCACTAAGCCGGCGACTTCTCTGGCCCCTATGTTAGTACTGACTATCCTAAACCAGGTTGGATATGAACAGCTGAAGGAAGTGGGGACAAACTCAAATCCAAGGTACACACCATTTATTTGATTTCACAAGAACACTCGGTATGATTTAGTGACATTTGAGGGTGCAGTTTAACAGAAGAAAAATGACTTTACTACTGTATGGATATACAGAAACAGAAACTAGGGCTGCCAAAGGAACATGATTAATCATGATTAATCACAGTCATAATTATTCATGGTTATTCAAGATAAATCAACATTCCCAAAACTGACAAAAAAAACAACATTTTTTGGAAAATGGAAAAAAAAATGTTTCAAGGAGTAGGTGGATTTGTTTTGGCTTGAAGAACATCCAAAACCTCAATGAGAGAGAGAGGGAGAGAGGAAGACAGGGATAGAGGGAATGAGGAAGTGAGGGTGAGACAAGGGCACGGTGGAAATGTTTTGTCATACGTTAAGAATATGTTGCCTTTAACATTTAAATCAATAATCAGACCAGCATCATACCATAAAGAACAGTCCTGGGTCAATTTCTTTTTGTTTCTGCTTCAGTGACCTGGAACACCTCCACAGTGTCATGTTCTACTTGGTGTGTTTGGTCCCAATGTGCGTCGCCGCTGCACAAGTCGTGGCCTGGTGGCCGTTCTCCATCCGCAACAGTCACACAGTGGACATTAAGTATATCGATGGCTGACTTTAGGGTTGTCAACCCTTGAGCTGACATGGTTTAAGTCTCTTTGTTTGGGATTAAGGGAAGATTATGTCTTTACTTGAATTGTTTCTAGTTGAAACATTATTTTGTTGTAGATGCCTTTGTTTTCTAAATGTCAATAGCCACTGATGTGCCTTAAATTTGCACTTCATGTTACGTTTCCTCTCCTAAGACACAAGAGCCAGAGACAAATAGACGAATGTGAAATTTAATGTCACCACACCAGACATTACATTGTGATTGTGCCAAGTTTAAGATATTCCTTAAGGACAAGTCACTAAGATTTGATGCTGATCACCCAACCCTTCTGTTTTCAAGGCAGTGTAGTCTGGTAAAACGCCATTGGTCACAACACGAAGCTACCGTTGAACCACACAACTGCAGAATATTTCAGAGATTTCTATCAACTGGGAGGCAATAGGAGCCTCCTACAAATACTCATGGTCTACACTTATTCTAAAGATAAAAAGATAAATAAAGTGTACTTAAAGATCCACGGCCTGATACTGGTACCTGGCCCGGTGGTTGGGCAGCCATTCTTTTCAGGGATGGAACTTTTAGGCAGAGCTTGTTAAAGAACAAGCAGTTAGTTTGTCCATTCAAAATGACAATAATCATAATGTGAACATGATATCGCAGTCACATTGTGTCTCACTGTTAATTATTTATTAATGAAAAGTGATTTTTCACATGACCATATGTTGAAAAACACAACATGTCTTGATAGATTTTTATCAAGGTTTTGACCAAACCTTTCCACTGAGGTGCTGTTGAAATTGACTTTTTGTTTACCATGTGTTCATGTTATTTTCTAAAAATAATTTTCATTGTATGTTGAATGAGGTAATGACAGTTTGTGATATATATTTAAAAAAAAAATAAAAAGTCACTTCTGCCAGGAAATGGACCCTAAAACCCTTTTCTCAATTTCTAATCTTGCACACACTGTTACATTTGAAAATATTATTTTGGGTGTAAATCGTCTCACAACTATGATGCAGGCTATTTCAAAATGCATGTTATTTACAGTTTTTCTGCTTCAAAATACAGAAGTCACACAGTTTCAGATGTAGAACTGGATGGGACAGACACACACAATTGACTTGTTGTGAGAAGATATTGTAGAACGTGTTCTGAAGTTACAAGCAACAGACAGTAGGAAGTAAAATAAACACACTATATACTGTGTATATATATATATATAAATATTTCTATCCAAATGACATACAGATGTACTCTCATTCTGTATTGGTATGTTCTCCTCACATGCAATGCATTGACTTCAAATTCTGCCCAGATAAAAGTGAAATCATCACTTTAGGGACAGTGGTGGTCAAACATCAGTGAGGAGTCAGAGAAGTATGACTTTAAAATGTCTTTTTGGCCATTTGATTTTTGGAAAAAATGTCTAGAGATCTGTAACACAGTTAACCCTATAAAAACCGACCTGGGCTACTGCCCTGGATCACAGGAAGTCCGTTGTGGGTCGGAAATTGGAAATAGTGCTTATATTCTACTGGATTTATTGTGGAGAATTATTTAACGACTTGTCTGATATTCCCATTCTCCACCTTCAGGTCTTTTGACTTGATGTTAATCCACAATGTTTGTCAGGTGACATGGCAGGATGACAGATCACAGCTGTGTTTGCTTAAAGGAAGTGGAAAAACGGGTACAGGTGTGTTTAAAGAAATTATGGGAAGTTAGCCATAAGTTAGTTAAACAGCCCAGAAAGGAGTAACGGTCACAAAAAGGCTTTTAAATTACATTCAACTTCTGTGAAGTCTGTTTCTAAATGTCCACCCAGGCTTCCGTAGCACACCAAAACTCCCCAGTACACTGAATGTGTTTTATTTGTCAAATCCAGTCAGTGGTACAGCGTCTGTTTTGTGTAGTTTATAGATTGTTTTCACAGTCACAAACTCAAACGTTTGCTGATTGGTCAATTTCCTGTTACACACCTCAAACATCCTCTGCTATTTTGAAGATTTGATATTTTTTCTCAGTTAGAACACGACAGCTCCTGAGCCAGGGAAACCAACGCTCAGACATTTTGATAGATGTCATCAGGTGAGCTGATGAAGTCACCATTTGCTGCCTGTAAAAAAAAATGTAAAGATGAGATCTTTCATTTAAAAAACATCCCAAACGTAACTGTGCTGCAACATGGTGAACTGCACGTTTACATAATGACCCGGTTGATGCAATTTAAACCTCACGTGCTGCAAAAGCACTTACCTCGGGGGGAGAACTGCTTTCTTCTCCACCTTGTCCATCTTCTCCACCTTCTCCACCTCCCTTCAAATGTCTTCTGTTTGTCAGTTCGTGCAGCACATCGTGGAACCGTCTTTTTGTAGCAGAAAAATTCTGTTTGGAAATAAAAATAGAATTTATTCTACATTAGTGTAAAAGCCCATTCATTATATAGTTTTTTAATCTATGTCAGGGAATTAAAATGGTCTTAAAATAAGAATTATTTGAGAAAAAATATATACGGTCAATAAGAATTTAAAATATTACTACTGATACTATTACTATCTGATTTCAGAATTCCAATTTATCTTCGGCAAAAGGCTAAAAACAATTGTAACAGTCTGTCCTTGCCTGGTTTTATAACCAATGGTTAAAGTGTCAACCAATAAAGGTGTAGCATTTGATAAAATTATAGATGATCAAAAGAATGTACATTAAAATTTTAAAATGCCTTTTTTCAGACATAAGAGTTTATTGCACAAGTCTTTTGGAGACACAGACCTCGTTTCCTCTTCCTCTATTATCTTACTGGGCTTTTTTTCTATTTAGCAAACAGTTCACATAACAGAAACAAAATTAAACTAAAAAAAAAATCACAAATGTTTTCACCACCTTGTTAGTTTTGGATGTCCTTCTGTGGGGGCTTAGTTTGCTGCCACACTATAACAACATATTAAAATAAGATTTTATAATGATTAGTCAATTTGACATAATTAAAGTAAAACAATAAAGTAAAAGGGTTTTTTATTTGTTTATTTATTTTTACCTTTTTCAAAATGATGAGCGTCAGTATGACTACGCTGTAGACGATCAGTAGAGTAAACGATAACCCTATAAGAATGTTCTTCACAGCTGTTTTAGGCGGTCCTGGAAGCAAAGACCCATCAAATCTTAATCAGTGCATCCAAACAACCATCCAAACATGTCGACCACGTTTCAAATTTACCTCCGACTCTGAGAACTGTACCAGGACCAACATGTTGCCTGCCTGCAGTCTGTTCAGCTGACGCTGTGGCACAGTGGTAGATGCCACTGTCGTTGGTGCTGAGAGAGGTGATTTGTAAAGATGCTCCATACAGACTGTATTTGAGAGGATTTGCACTCAAATTGAGACGATGGTGGGAGTTTTCTGTGAAAGCGAACCACTCATAGATCTGATTGCTGCCGGAACAGAAAGAACTGACATTACACTGCAGAACAACCGTTCCTCCTGCTTTTCGTCTCATCGACCTCACTGGCTGACTCAAACATCCTTCCTCTTTAGTCAAGCTCTCTGGGAAAAAAGACAAAAAAAGTTTCAGAAACAGTGGCTACAAAACCATCAGTGAAGTAACCCATTAATAAATACATGGATTAAATGTTACCTGTTACTGACAGCTGTATGAGGATGAGAGAAATCCACAGCAGCTGATTCATGTCTGTAGCTTAATGGTGTCTGAGTGATCTCATGATTTCTTACACGATAACATCTAACTTCCGCTTTGGTCAGTTTCTACTTCCTGCTTGCATTGTAATATGTAATTTTCACAGGCAATTTCAGTTCATTTTAGTTTACAGACTTGTTATAAAAAACAAGGTTGTATTGATTAAAAGGAATATCAATCAAAAATAAACCATAAAGGTATGTGCTGTGGTTGAATGTAAAGTTATAATTTATCGTCAGGTTAAGAGAAAAAAGAAAAACCCTTGTTTTTATTGACCAGTTTAAATTCTGCTAGTTAAATTAAAGCCAAATTAAAAATGAATGGTTGAACAGCATACCAAAAATGTTGGCACTGAGAGAGCGTGTTAACATCTTTGCAAATTTACCACTGTTTACCCTTTTCTTAAGCTACATAATTTACTAATTCATATTATGAAGCTGACTTACTTTTACAGTAACATGGATTCTAGTTATAATAGTTAAAACAACTTAACACTGTATATAAATAGAGCCAACTTCATTGTATGCTCTTTATTACAAAAATGTTTTCAACTTTAATGTAGCTGTAATTTTAAGATACGTGTACATGTTTTGAATAATTAACTATTTAAGACAATATATCACTATACAATTTATTGTTCTAAAATACATTTGCATTTATTTGACTAGTAAAGCTACAATTCAGTAGACTTTGTCTTAAATACGCAAAGTTTCCACGGGTTCCACATGGACGTTTCTCCAAAGCCCAATTTTCACTCCCTGTGGGTACAACGTTGGTGTGGGCGGGTGATATTGAGCTGTCAGTCCGAGTTTAGACCAATCATAGTCTGTATTTGTGGCTTGTCCCGCCCCCTTCCACGTCGACCTGCACTCTCGCCATATTTTCAATCCTGTTCAAACCCGCAGCTCCGTTTGTCTGAGTTGAGGAGGAGAAGCTGTCACGCCGAACTCCAGGGGAAAAGAAGACATTCTTCTGAACCAAGAGCCTCATCTTTGTTGGTTTCTTAGCTGTTTTTCCGAGCTCTCCCCGCGACCATGAACGTCTTCAGACTGACAGGAGACCTCTCTCATCTGGCTGCTATCATCATCCTGCTGCTCAAAATATGGAAAAGCAGGTCGTGTGCAGGTGAGTTCATGACGTCCTGGTTGCTGCACGCACTTGAACGATGATTTCTTATCTTTTCTAGTCTAACTTGCCTTTAATGTATTGCAGAAATGACACTCTGTGGTTGTTAGCCACAAGCTAACATTTCCCTCACTCATTCATTTGAACCAGTGGCTGTAGCTGTTCATTGGCTAACCGGCTATGACTGTTAGAAACTACGTGTATTCTACTTGTTAGCTGTTCATTGGCTAACCGGCTATAACTGTTAGAAACTACGTGTATTCTACTTATTTCTACGACAGTGTACATTGCAGATGCAATTTAATGTGTCGTTAATATAAGCTGTATTTATATTTAAGTGCAACATAGCAGTAGCTTACGTGCAAGGTATGTGGGCTACACACCAAAATGAGGGAGATCGAATGCTCTAGAATTACGTCTTTGTATATCTAAGTGAATTTAACATAATAGTTAATAATAGGTAGAGTAAAATATGCTTTTATTAGTTGCAGTTTCTGCACACACACCATCCCCCAAACACACCCAGACGCACCACTGCTCCTTTGCTTGATGTTCGGTGCTCGACCTATTTGGTCTGGCTTCTGACGTGGCGTTCTTATAAAGAGGTACGGAAGTAGCTGACCAGCTAAAATTCTTTAGTGTCACTTTCACCTATGTTTCCAAATATTCAGGCTCTTAAATAAGCACTTAATTGGACTTCCCTTTCAGTGTATGATCTCAACGAGGGGTTTTGTCCGCTGATGTTATTGAACGCAGAGCTGCAGTGTTTCGGTTCGAAGTTCAGAGGTTATGTTATCACACTGATAACGGGAAGATTGTGTTGTTTGCCTGCTATACATGCTGTGATTGTTATAACAAATTATGTCAAGGTAGTTTAGTTTAAGTTAGTTTTGAATTGGTCGCATTGACCCTCAAACTGCACCGAGTGTCTCCCTTCAAGGGGATATGACGCACATACACAGTCTCGCAACCCCATTATCTCATCTGCCTGCGAAATTTGATAAACAAATGCTCACCCAATAGGCCATGCAACAACGTGCAAACCCACAGCAGTAAGTTTGGAATAGCATACTAAGGTATCATGCATGCAATATAATAATATTTAAATGTGATGATAAAGATTTTGCAGAGCAGCAAAATCACAATTTAAAGTTAAAACTCAGGTTTGCACATTTCATGTTATTTGTGTAAAATCATTTTTAAATAATACATCCAGTTACAATTTAATATAATTTTAAAACAGTTCAAAGTGCTGTGTTGTTCTGTTGTGTTTCATTTGCCTGGTGACATTTGCACATTTCCAGTAGATGTCACTATCCGACAAGAAGAGATATACTGTTGTCTTACTGACACAAAAGTTTCAGTGAAGTTGTAGCTCAGTTGGTAGTTGTCTTACACCTGCAGGGTTGTGTGTTCACTTCCAGGCTACGTAGATTATTTGCTATTCCACAGGTAGGTAGGAAAAACCTGTAGTGTAAAGAGCTTCGGCCTAGAGAAAAACCCCATGTTAGAACAGACCATACATGTCTTCACACTAATAATTGATATGATTCCTTGGCATGTGTGTCAAAGGTATTTCTGGAAAGAGCCAAATCCTGTTTGCCATTGTGTTCACCACTCGCTACCTGGATCTGCTCACCTCCTTCATCTCCATCTACAACACCTCCATGAAGGTGAGAGTCCGGTCTCCAGTCCTGACCGACAGTATTTGAACCAATCACTGAGGGCCGTGTATAACGATATGTTTCTGATTTTTATTTTATTTATTTATTTTTTTACCAGGTGATCTACATTGGTTGTGCATATGCCACAGTCTATCTGATCTACATGAAGTTCAGGGCCACCTATGACGGCAACCATGACAGTTTCAGAGTAGAGTTCCTGGTTGTTCCCGTTGGAGGCCTTGCTGTTCTGGTCAACCACGACTTCTCTTTCCTGGAGGTATGTCCAGCCTCCTGCGATGTGTCATATATCAGAGAGAATTTGTTTAGATAGAAGATGCAGAAATACTGAGCATGTAGCCTGTAAAGTAACCCCCTCCCTTGTCTGCTAAGAATGGGTTTGATTGTTTTTTCTTAAAAATCCCCCTTTTTGTAAACTTAAACTTAAACTTAAACTTACCTGGAGTCATAATCGCCATGTCGTACCACCCATTGGGGGCTCACCCTCATGATTCCTCGTCACTCTACCTCTGAATAGATTAAGGTCCAACTGTGGTCAAAATGTGTGTCATTAGCTCAGATGTCCCTGAGTCATGGTATTTAACCTGTGCTGTCAGATCCTCTGGACCTTCTCCATCTACCTGGAGTCGGTGGCCATCCTGCCCCAGCTGTTCATGATCAGCAAGACGGGCGAGGCGGAGACAATCACCACCCACTACCTGTTCTGCCTGGGCCTGTATCGAGCCCTCTACCTCCTCAACTGGATCTGGCGTTTCTACTTTGAGAGCTTCTTCGACATGATCGCCATCGTGGCCGGCGTGGTACAGACTGTCCTGTATTGTGACTTCTTCTATCTTTATATCACCAAAGGTGAGTTCTCCTCCAGTTTCGATCCGTTTAAACAGATGATGCCGAACAAATACTCATCCCAAATTTGGACGTAACACATTTGGTGCTGTAGCAGCCTGAAGCGTCTGTTTTCATCTTTTCGTGTTAGAGTTCCCTCTGTCTCTCCTTCACGGCAGTTAGACACAGAAACCAAACCAGAGAAAACAAAGCTCTCAAAGGGAATTTTGTGTGATTAAATACCAGTACTTGATCTGTTCCACACAGATGAAACCATCATCAACACATGACTTTGATTTTAAGAAGTGATAGTCTGTCCCTGAAGCCCTGGAAAGCATGGGTTACGTGGGATGTCGTCAATAGTTTTTTAAGAATCCACTAAGTTTCTGCCATCTGTTGTGCATTCACACCAACGAACCAAGAATCATTTCAGGATTATCTAAAATGTGTCATGTGCATAATGTAATTTCTCTTAGCTTCCAAATGCCTCGTCAGTAATTCACTGCTGTTTGCTCTACTGACAGTAATGTTGTCCATTCTTATTTACATTGTTGTTGCCACTTTGCTCAGTAGAACAAATCAAGAAGCAGACCAGGTAATTTGGTAATTTAACAACAAAAATCTCATCCAAAACCTACCTTTTATTTCAGGTTCACCCATCATTATAAATACATTTTGTTCAAGGTTTTCAAAATTCTTAAAAATCCTGAATAGAGCCCATAACTTTAATGGGGCTATACTTTTGAGTGAAAGACTGAGGATGACTCAAAAACTGTTGATGTGATTAGAGTGGCAAATTAAATGATGGATCACACTGTTGAAGTTTGGGAGACACAGATAAAAGCTCCAGTGCTTGTTTCTTAATGAGTGACTTCACTTTTTCCTCCTCGCTCAGTGTTGAAAGGCAAGAAGCTGAGTCTACCTGCGTAAGAGCGCAGAGGTTAAAGCGGCGCCTCCCAGGAGACTCAGGGGTGTGGAGATGACATCTAGGAATTTCGTGACATTATAGCAGTGGATGTCTGAGACAGAGAGCCAACGACAGGGAAAAACACTAGTCCTCTTTGACGATCGCTGATTGAACTGGTAAATGCCAACAAACACCAGAGCTGAACGACAAGATCAACCTTTGGATTCCTCTGTTCAGCATCTTGCCTTAAATGTCTTTTCATTGTTGATAATATAGGAGAAAATGCTTCATTTTTTTTTCTTTCTTTTTTTTTCTTTTACTTGTGAGGTGTAAACGCTTCTTGTTTTTCTTTTTTTTTTACTTATTTTATAATGTCACAAAAAGGAATTGTGTGCGAAAAAGTACCTTGTTTGCCTCGGTAATGAAATGCACAAATGTACAGTCTTATTAAAGAGTGAGATAAAGAGTAAATGTATCCGAGTGCCTGATTAGGATGATGTCCATTTTCTCACAGTATTTTTCTTTATTTTTCATTTGTTGTTTTTGCTTTTTTCTCTCAACAATTGTACACACATGCTTTAACCTTCTCTTGGAGACATTTTAAAGAGGCAGACACAAAAGCATTTGTTGCTTTATAATATCAAAAGACATTTTAATAAGATTTCTAAAAATGAAAAAAAGAATTTAAGAAGTAAATATTTTTTACATAGATGCCAGAAATCTTCCTGTCTTCAGTGTCGGTATTTTCAAAGTAGGGCATCTGATTTGGACTTTCCGTGTTATCTTGTTTCCTTCAGCATTCTGTATTGGAGAAGTTACCATGTAATGCATTTGTTCTGCTTCTTGAATATAGATTTAATACATGATTAAGGACAATGCCTTGTCACAATTTCTCTGTAGGGATTGAAAAAAATGTGTCCACAGCCAAGTCCAAAACTCACAAACGCCAACTGTGACGCGTTAGTTTTCACGAGGTCAAAACTTCTAACGTCACTGCAGTGAAATGGTCACGACAGCCGTGTGGCGGTGGGAATCCTTCAACTCTTTGACTGGTTGTGATGTTGCATTTTATTCACTGAAGTTTTTCAGTGTGAACATTTCAACAGATCTCGATGGAGAAGTTGGTTAATTTCTGTTCAAATATTTGCATTTATATGAGATTGAATAGCCTCCTGTTAACCTCTTTGAATTTGCCATTCCTTAAGAGTATTTCAACTTTTTTATGTTACTTTTTTCTTTTGCATGATATCACCTCCAATAAAGATTTTACGAGAATCATCGTTCTTGTCCATGTGATTACTTTGTATATGTTACCAGTATTTACTACCATTTGACTGCCTTTTTTTTAAGTTTTTACTGTTAGTTATTTTTCTAATTTTTTTTGTTATATTTCAGCTACCGTGGACAGATTTTTAATTTAAAAACATTTTTTATAAATTTCCTGCATTTTAATTATTAGTAACTATTTTGCCAGTTGTGACAAACTTGGGGTTGCATTTTTGGAAACCCTTGGAACTCTTTTAGAATGTTCTGCTAATTTGTTGGTATTGCTTATTATTATTTACCTTAAAAATATTCATAACTTGTCACATCATTAATTAATAGAGTTCACAAGTGTGTAATTTAGTCTCAGTAAAAAAACACCTGTTCTGTGACAGCAGTCACTGTGGCCTCAGTGAACAGACCAGACAGGTCAGACACTCACTGTAGTTATGAGTATGTTGATTCTGTTCAGCTTTGGTTTTCAACTATGCAAAAGTGGAGACACATTTATAGTTTAATTTCTATCACAGAGTAAGGCTGTAAGATTTAAAAAGAACCAAAATAAAGCCAAAAAACTCCACTGTTTTGGTCTATATTTATTTATTGCTTATACAGTTTTCTGGGACACATGGAAAAAAAAGATTCATAAATCAAAAAAAGTTCATAAAATTCTGCATCACAGACAACAGGTGGCAGTAAACAGGAGGGTAACGATGTGTTAAAGTGCTGGACAAGGGTTTGAACAAAAATACATTTTCACTCTGCCAAACATCAACTCAGTAACCGACCTATTTGATTATCCTTCACCAACTTTCCTCTATCTTACCATGGGTTGCCTGATGTTGGCAACTTTAGCTTCCGAGATCATGAAACATCAAGCATTTATATATAAATATTTTATTATATATAAATAGTAACAGTCTTACGGCTCTACTTAACAGTAATCACCAGGGTTTGACTCTGTGCCGTGAGAAGTCAGCAAAACATTCAACAAAATCAGTAGTGCTGATTTAAGCCTTCTGAATCTTTTTTTCTCAGAGTGTAGTTTAAAGATTTTTTTATGAAGATTTTAATTCGCTTTCTTTTTCCTGGACTGCGCCCTCCTGAAAAAAGAGAGAAGAAAGGATGAGACTGATACATGACCTGAGGTTTTCTACAGTAATTCTTCATGCCTAGGTCCCCCTAGGGGACATGGTTGAAAAACACCAACCTGACCACGAACCAAAAATGAATTTGGTTCACTGGTCAGGTTTGTTAAGGTCTCATGATTTCACTTTCACAGTAAAACATTTTTTTATGAATAGTAGGCTTGTCACCAGTATGATTTTAGTAATAAAGTGATATTTGGTATATTTTTTTGTGAACACATGATTTACACAGTACCTTAATGTAATGACAATACTGCTGTATCATAAAAGTACACGGGAAACCCAGCTAAGGACTCATGACTGCTACAAAATAATGTGGTTAAATGTAGTTTTTTTTTTTCGATTGTGTGAATTTCAGCTAAAGTCTAAGGGTGCATTAGGGCTGATTTAGAAAGCTGTATTTTGTCACATGATGCTTTTATTTTGTAGAAACACCAACCAAAGCTTTAGGCTTTAAATTGAAGTTCTTATCAGGATTATAAATATCTCTGCTCAGTCAGATAGAACTGGTAAATTGTGTTGCTGCTGTGGAACAATAGTAACACAATTACCCTGTCCTGGATCAGTGTGGTGTTTATTATTATACTGCCTTAGTGTCTGGTTCAATGTAGAACCTCTGGACTGTGAGCCCCTGACCTGGGGTGGCTCAGATAGGGTGCACATGTTTGATTTGTTCCACCGTCACGTGATCTTCATAATACCTTAATGTTATTACAGTCCTGGAATGCCAAAAACGTCCTGCCTGGAATAACTTTAAATATATAATAAAAAACAGTGCAGCTTAGCTCCTGTAGTCTGTCATTGGTCATTGGTTCATTACCTTTGTCAGCTGGGGATAATACACCAGGATGTGGGAGATGGTTATATAAAGAGCCATTAGGATGAGTGAAGCAAAGACGGAGAAGAGTGCGATGCCAGAGAGCACACACAGTAAACTCATGCCTCCCAGGAACAACACCGTCACTGGAGGAAGTGAGGGGAAAAAAACCAAAAGTTTGTCTCTGACACTGGTGTGGAAACAATCAGGAAAAATGTCAGCGTTGACCTGTGCACACCCACCTTCAACAAACACAAAGCCCACGGCTGATATGACCATGGTGACAAGTGCAAAGATGAGGAAGAGACCCACAGGTAGAGCAGCCATGGCACTGAAGACCATCACTGTCAGGGCGACCAACGGATGGCTGCCCAGGTACTGGCCCACGCTGGTGTTCATCAGCTGTGATACCTGTGAGGACGAGGCTCTCTGAGCGGACGGACGGCAAAAAGGCGCAGCTGAATTTTACCAACAACTTACCTGTGGGTGTGGGTCATCAAAAGTACTTTTTATCTGCGTGGTCCATCTCCCCACCTGCTGCTGCCAGTCTCCCACAGAACTCCTGTCCTCTGTCTCCATGCTGCTCCAAAGGAAACACAAACATCCATTTAAACTGCCCAGATCTCAGCGCTCTGTTAATCTGGTAGTAACCATTGCACAACTGGCTAATGATCATTAAATTCATACTTTCATTAACTTCACCTAAAAGAAGTTTTTTTTAAATGATAAAACTTAGTTAGTTTCTTAACTACAAACCTCAAAGTTCTCCGGTTCGATCCACCGATCTCAGTCTCTGAAACTCCGTCCTGGAGTTTTCTTTTAAAACACCAGAAACAACAACACTCCTGTTCTTCTGTAGAACACACCCCTTATTTTCTTCTTCCTCCTTCTCCTCCTCCTCCTGCGTCTCTTTATTCTTCCTCTTCTGCATTTCTCCCGGACACCTCCCAAAGGGTGTGTAGTCACTTTGCTGCCGTCTATCGCCCAATGAACACATTGCAGCGCCACGATTGCTTCCCTTCATCGTCGGATCCGTTGATGTTCATTCATGTGAAGTTACATTTTATATTTTATCTTTATATTTACAGGTTCATAAATAAAATGTCCGCTAAATGTCCAAAGATGGCTGTCAAGTGTTTAATGTTTAGCGTTAGCCTCTGGTTCTCTTCATTGGTTTTAAATACTAATTCGTAGAAAAGGAAGACGCTTTAATGTACAATATTTTCCTTTGAATTAAAGTGTCTTTACTCATAGTTTGGTTTGAACTCTTCAAGAGAAATCCTGCATTTGAAAAATCTGATTTACTTCTACTGTGCTTAGGATAAGTAAATTCAACACGTTACTTTGCTCCAATATTAATATTTCTGTTCAGAAGTGAATTCCAGTTCCAATTCCATGTACACATTAACATAGTGATTAGTACTAGGTTTTATGTAGTATTGTACAAGGTGTTGGGTCATTATTGCAGAAAAACGTTTGACTTGTAAAAAATAAATACACAAACTAAATTCATTAATTGTTTAATTTCGCTTGTTTCAGCCGGATCACTGCAGTAATTCTCCAGGAGCCCAACAGAGGGCGTTCCTAGCTCAGATCCTGGTTGTCGGAATGAGACAGTTCCTTCAAAGTAATGACAGCTTTTTGCCTTTCGGCTTTTTTGCTATTACACATCAAGAACACAGACATTTCTCTGTGACGACCAGGAGTGATCAGAATATAGAATGGCCGAACCTCCACACCTTCCCTGATTACTTCCTGCGGCAAAGACACCGACACGGGCTCTCGCCGTCACCTCTCACAAATTAAGTTTATCCTTATGAGATTTGAGGATAGCTTCAGATATATGTGAGTATCACAGCAGAACTGGGAGAGAAGAAAACATCAAGATGAGTAATGGACATTAGAGGGAGGAGGGGGTAGGGGTAGGGGTGGACCCTAGGGACCAGTGATGACAACTCATTTGGACCCTTTATTGCTGCGAGCCTTTTTAATTAATCACTCTCTTATGTATCGAGTACAGGCAGAGAATTTGGCGAGGCAGAGAGGCTGCATTCACCTCCCCAGACTACGCAACACAACAAACCCAGTGAACCAGGACTGACAAGGCACCGAGCTACGTACTTATTTGTTGGGATACAAACACAACAAGGAATTTCATGTTATTAACCTGCAGCGTTTTAGCTGCTGCTGCTACTGCTGCTCTCATTGCGTCATCTCTGACTGCAGGGTCAGACGTCTGCTGGCTGCTCCACTGACCGCTCAGGGCTGCTTGGACATTAAATGTTCATCCAGTCTCATCAGCTGAAAGATTCGGTTTCTGTCGGAGCAGCAGAAACATTGGGTTTTGAACAGTCAGACTGCAGTTTGTCGACTGTCACGTGCCGAGCTGCAAATTGCAGCCAAAATGTGACTGATGGGCTGTCATTAAATTCTTACTTGCCTCCACTGATTGTGTGAACTAATCAAAGTCAGAGTGGTCACTGCTGTGGTCTCCACTCACTGACACAGTTCTGCACATCCATCCCTCACTGACAGCCGTCGTCAAAGGTCGGCGGTGGTCCGGGAGAGAAATGAGTGGGGTCTTTTCTTATTTTGGCCTGTCACAGTAAATGCCCCTGCTGCTCCATCACAGCTCCCTCTCACTCACTCCTGACTTCGTTCACCTCTCTGTGTCGCTGCCCAGGCAGTGTTTGGCCAACAGCTGAGAACCAGGGGGAGAACCAAATGTCTTTGCCAGATGAAGGGGTCGTTTCCAGCTCTGTCCTGTAACTGGGAGAGTGAGAGGCTCAAAGAGCGCTCCCCGGTGGGCTGTAAAGGCCACTGTGGAGGAGGGAGTCACAGCCCATACACACACACCCACATGCACTGTTTTTTGTATTTTTGAGCACATCACACAAATCCCACCCTCACCCCTCAACCCAGTGCACTTTAAATTGTGGGGCGTGCCCCAGCAGTGGGGAACAGGTCACGGCAGGTGGGGTGGACAAATGGGAGGACATTTTCAAGGTTCTTTTTTTTATAGATTTATAGATTTTAATTCAATATAAAATATGACGTTACATTATTGTTGGGGTAACATGGGTAAGGGGTAGGGAGTGTCCATGTCCATAAACCACCACTGCAGTGTCCTCTTCTGTCTGTGTCTCTGGGGTTAATTAGTTTCACCCGCCTCACCTGTGTCCTGTGGTTCCCTGGTAATCAGTTCTGACTCGTCTCACCTGGTGTCCTGGGTACATAAACCTCATTCTCCCTCACTTAGTCCTCTTGTTGTTTGTGGCTGTTGTCTGTTACTTGTTGTGTTGTCTATTGTGTTGCCTATTGTTCTCTTTTGAAACCAGTGTTTGGACACTGAGCCATTTTTTAATTTTCTTTAACATCTATCTTTAATTCTGTCTCTGTGTTCCGCTGATGTTGTTTTGTAATCCATTTTATTATGAACCACGATTAAATTTGCAGTATATAATTACTGTTTCCCTGCTCTGTTAAATTGACGAGGCGTCGCTGCAGTACACAGCAGAGAGGAAATGTTTTCAGCGGTTGGGTCAGTGAGTTTACAGCGTGAGAAACGACACCTGTAAGAAAAATGGATGCAAACAGCCAAATGTTTTTGCAGTGGGATGTTTTATATTCAGTCTCCAGCCCAGCTGTGGTGTGATGGATTGCTGTGGCTGCAGTTTTGTTCCTAAGACTTGAGTAAGAGAGTGGTGTCCAGTAAAAGCTGCTGAGGAGTGAGTGACAGCTGTGGAGATAAAGGAGGTTCTGGTGGAGGTCTTTATGTGAAGACATTTATAATTTACTAAACCTTTGTGGCTGAAGAGAAAGAAAGACAAGGAGGGAAGATGAATAGAGGTGACATCAGGAGCTAAGAACAGGAGGGTTGTCAGTCTCATTAAAACCTGTGACGGCGGCGTTGTGTTCTCCATCACTCATCTTAGAAAAACCAGGGTGAATCTTTCATGTCGCTGTGTCATCATGGCAGCTGCTGGATTTACATCAGTTTTCCTTCTGATTTTTTTTTCTCTCCAGTTGCTGCTTAGCTGTCGTTCTAGGACACATGTGTCAAACTCAGGCCCGGGGTCCAAATCTCGGCCGCAGTGTAATTTAATTTGGCCTGTGAGATCATATCAAATGTGTAGTGGAGTTGGCCTGCCAATATATAACTGACTATATACTGACAGGATTTGTATTAGTGATGTATGTTAAAGCACATACATTTTGGTTTTTTATTGTTGGCCTGTGGGGGAAAAAATACATTAAAAAGAACTCAAAAGGCTACAGATAGAAACAAATATTGTTTTATTTTTAAATGTAACTTCTCATGTGTTTATAACATTAACCTTCAGTTGTTCCAGATTCAGTGTTTACGCAAAACTTCCATATGACAGAATTCTGTTATATATCTAGAGAGAAGGGAAAACATTCACAATTAATGTCAATTTATCAATTTAATTTTGGCCCACTGTGAATTTGAATTTGACACCCTTGTTGTGACATCACATCAGTGGTCAGTCACACACACAC